AAAAAAAAACCACACTTAAAGGCAAGACGACATGAAAGTTGCCTCCAAATCCTTTGAAAGAATGGCAGGATTTATTCTGAGTTACCCTCAGAGCTTAAGCGGAGGGCCAATAGGTATAAATCAGAAAAAGAATTCAACTGCAACATAAGAAAGATTTCTTCCCTGGTCCCCATAATTACAAAGTAATACGTGTCCGTTGTAAAAGATTCATTAAGAACAAAAAATATACAAATCAACAACAACAAAATCCCCGTGATCTCACTGCCCAGAGATACAACTATTAATACTTTCAAATAACTTCTTTTATGCACTGTTTAAATATAGTTGAGACGATATTATATTTCCCGTTTTATCTTTTTGCTTCTACCTCACATTTTAAGCATCTCTCCGTGTCAGGTAGTAGATTCCCAGTTGCTGAGATGGCCGGAAGTTGGCCAACCATCAGTTAAAACTATATCGGGGGGCGGGGAGTGGGACTGAAGTGCTATAATCAGGAATGCTGGACTACCTGACCTCTAAACTCTCTAACCTTGTACTCCTATGGCTCTCGAGGTCCCAGGGCTATGTTTCAATTCATTCAATACCTCTGTAGGTGCTTAAAATCGGATATCTGACGGCTGCTCAGCCACATCCAGAGAATTATATTTCTCCAGGAAAAATTTCGTTACAGAACATGAAGCCCTGAAAGTCATCATTTCATATTTCCCACCCTTGGTACTCAACTAATGATAGATCTGCTCTCAGTGCAAGAGAAAGGTGTGCTCAGTACAACACACAAGGCAACCTACAAAACAATGAACATCCCGGCCCGGCTGGCGTGGCTCAGAGGTCGAGCATTGACCTAGGATCCAGGAGGTCGGGGTTCGATTCCCGGTCAGGGCACGTGCCCAGGTTGCGGGCTAGACAGCCGATCAGTGACTCTCCCATCACTGATGTTTCTATCTCTCTCTCTCCCCCTCCTGTCTTCTCTCTGAAATCAATAAAGATGAACTTTAAAAAAAACAAAAAAAAACAATGAACATCCCCAAGATACTGCCTCCTGGGGACTGTTTAATGATCTTATATTACACCAGGTCAAGCACATTTCTGTGCAGCAGTGAGTGTGGTCTCACATGTAACTTCATGTAAGAGATGAGCCTTTCTGCCTGAAGACCCTGGTCCTATCCCACAGCTGACCTGGCGAGGAGAGTGACACCAAAGAGAACAGAGACACGGGAAACCTCAGCTGGAGAGATGGAGAGCTGGGTCATCACTCGGCCACAGAGAGCACACGCAGACCAGCGGAAAGCCAGGTCTGCCACGGAAATCAACCCGTAAAGACTCCCGTTTGAAGATGACACCTTGAGCAACTGCAGGAAGCTAGGCCGCGGGGGTGATGACCCTGAAGGAAGCACACATCCTAAAGTAGACCCGACCGTGGGACAGGGACTGAGGCGTCAGACAGTCCTGCTTTCAAGTTCCAAGCCTACTCCTTACCAGCACGTGAGCCGAAGCAATGAATCAAGCTCTCGGAAACGTGTAGACTTTGCTATGACAGGTGAGCTAATTCAGGTAATTTGAGCAGCACAGTATGTAGAGCCAAGTGAAGTTCACCACACTGCACACGTTTTACCAGCAGTATTTCCACGGCAGTGTGTTGGTTCAATCAACTCTATGTCCTTGTCATAAAGAGCTAAAGGGACCTTTTGGGAAGTGTCTTATGTCCTATGTTGTGTTTCTCAAACTGTTTTCAGCCCGTAGGGCCTGTTTTTCAACTAGAAGTCTTTCTGAGAAGGACAAGTGAGAGACAAACATGTTGAATCAAAGGTGAAAGGGTCTGTCCTGAATCCTCACCCTGTGTGAACCCAAGAGTGTTCCATGGACCTTGAAGATTTGGCAGAGTGTAACTTTTAAAACCATCAGGATGGCCTGGCCGGTGTGGCTCAGTGGTTGAGCATTGACCTAGGAGATCATGGTTCGATTCCCGGTCAGGGCACGTGCCCAGGTTGTGGGCTTGATCCCCAGTTGGGGGCGTGCAGGAGGCAGCCGATCAATGACTCTCTCATCACTGATGTTTCTCTCTCTCTCTCTCTCTCTCTCTCCTTTCCTTTCTCTGAAATCAGTAAAGACATATTTTTTTAAAAAATAAATAAATTTTTAAAAAATAAAATAAAACCACCACACTGTAGATGGCTGAACTGCGTAGTCTCTACCAATTGCTCTCCCAAGATCCTGGTGTCCAGAGAGGATCCAGCAGCTGAGAACCTCCCCAAACTCCATGCACCCCAGAACCCAGCTTCATAAGCTTACTTAGGCCTCAGTGCATGTGATACCACCAAGTTTTTTCAGATCTTAATCTACATAAATATATTAAATAAATTAATGTTCCAATCTGACTCCATTCTTGGGAACATGAAATGCCAGTGCCTGGATGAACATACGTGTCATTTTCTTCCTGTCTCCTCTTTTTCTTGGTATCATCTGTTAACATGCCCCTGATTTTCTGTGGGATAAAATGTGCCAGGGATTTCAACACCAGAAAAAGGTGAGAACTGAGGGGAGGGCAGGGAGAATGTAACAAAGAATATATACCTCGATTGTTTTCAAACAAAAAAGGCACTGAAGTGAGTTACACTTCAAATACAAGCAGCTTGGTTTTGGAAGGGAAGTCATAATGCCCTAAGAGAATTAATTCACTTCTCAGGGACAAGTGGCTGTTGATTTCACCAAAGAGGCTCTTTTGCGCTAACTTTGAACCAAATGGAAACACGAGAGCTCTAAACTGGAGAAAGGGCACTTGGGTCACTTAAGGACCAGCGCCTTTTGGACTTAAACCACTCTTTTCTGATTATTCGCATTATCATTTTCACTTAAGAAATATATAAAATAAGTTATCAGGAACCAGGTGTAACAGCGGTCAAATTCTCCTTCCTTCTCGTCAGTGCGTGGCCGACTGTCGAGTGGCTCGCCCCACCCTCTCCACCTTTGTGGGCGTCAGCTTTGGTCATGGGTTGAATTAGGTCCCCCAGAAAGAGGTGTGCCCAAGTCCCCCAGTACCTCAGCATGTGACTGTATTTGGGAATGGAGTCTTTACAGAGATAATGGAGTTAAAATGAGGTCATCAGAGTGACCCCAATCCAATATGACTTGCATCCTTATAGAAAGGGGAAATTTGGACACAGACACGCACACAAAGAGAAGGAAATGATGTGAAGACGCAGAGAGGACGCCATCCACGAGCGAAGTGGTAGCCTGAGGCTGCCAGGAGCTAGGCGAGGGGCAGGGGACAGGTCCCCCTCACAGGCCTCAGGAGAAACCAATCCTGCTGACGGCTTGATACGAACTTCTAGTCGCCCGAACTGTGAGACAACACATTTCTGCTGTTTAAGTGCCCCCTCCACCCCCCGCAACACACCAGTTTGTGGTTCTTTGTTACGGTCATCCTAGGAAATTAACATGTCATAGGGGCTGGGAGAGCCCAAATCTGTATCTGTCCACTCTCTCCAATGCCCTTGTAGCCAGGGGTGACCGTGGGACACAATTTTGGACAATGAAAGGTCAGTGAGAGTCTGTTGAAGCTTCTTGGTAAATGTTTGGCTTAGTAGATTAGAAGATTAAGAACAGAGCAGAATGATAGACCCAGAAGGGCGGTGGGGGGCTTGTGGAGCACACCTCAGGGCCTTCCAGGCATCGGGCTGGGTCCCCACAGCTCCCACAGAGCTGCCGGCTGAGAAACACGCCAGTGGAGACAATGAAGCCTCAGGTGTGCATAAAGCAGAACAGAGGAGCTTAGGTCTAGATAAGTGTTTGTGAGCCTGTATTACTTTGTCTTTAATTTAGGGATTAGAAATCGATCACGGTCACGTCTTCCCCGTACATAATCAGCTCTCACCCAAATGATTAGCCAGTGAGGCAACATCTAAAAGTGAGACAAAAATGTTGGCCTCAAAATTCTAACCTAAAACCTGAAAATGTCGCAACTTTCTGTCATTGTGCAAGAAGTCATTTCAAAAACACCTGTTACGAGTGTCCTGAAAGTTCAAGGCTAAATAACATCGAAATACTCATTTAGGATTCCTGGAAACCGACAGTGGAACATTTCTTTAAAAGAGCGGTTTACAACTGGGAGTAATTTCACCACCACCACCACCACCCCCCCAGGACATATAGCAACGTGCAGACACATGTTTGGTTCTCTAAAGTTGGGGAGAAAAGCAAAGCGACTGGTATCTACTGGGGAGAAGTCCGGAGCTGCTGCTGACCATCCTACAATGCACAGAATGGCCCCCAAAACAAATGATCACCCAGCCCAAATGCCAGCAGTGCCAAGGCCGAGAAACTCTGCTCTAGGGTATATAGTAAAGCTTTCAAGAAAGAATGTTAGACTTTGTGAGAACCACAAAAGCAAGGAGTGAGCAGAAATGGCTTGTTGAAAAAGTGTGGGCAGTGTCCTGAATGCTACCGAGAACTGCAGATACAGGGGAGTGAAAATGGAGAACAAGAGGATCCATGAGAAAAGCAACGTCCAGAAAGCGGGCGTCACCGTGAAGGAGAGAACTGGCCGGGCCCGGCCCGAACCCACCGCGGGCCTCCCCGTGGGTATCACTCCATTTCTGGCTGTGTGTTTAACCACGGCAGCTGGCAGGGGGTGCAGCCTCCTCAACAAACCCACTCATCAGTGTGTAAAGCTGCCATTCTTCAGGAACGTCTCTAAGACAATATCTGAAATCTATTTTCTCCTGACTCTCCTTGGAGATGAGTCACACAAGAGGCTGCTCCATGCTTGATTTCAGGCTTTTAAATAGGAAGAGCGGCTATTAAAAAAAATCACAGGGTAGGAAAGGCAGACAAAGGCACTAAAAAGACTCTGAATCGTTCTAATTTTTATGGGAAGTGGGGGAAGACCATCCAGCTTAACCAATTTATACCATTTTGCTTTAGAGAATAAACATATACATCATGCTGACCATTTTATGCCACGTTTCACATGGCGGAATTAAAATAGCTTCAGGAGAACATTCGGGAAAATAGGAGAGGGAAGCAATAAAATGAAATGGCAAAGAACCACTAGCGATCGAAGCGCATCTATTCCTCTTGAAGGTAAACAGCCTAATGAAGTTTGTCTCGGCTCCGCAAACGGCCTCCTGCCCCCACCCGGTGCCTCTGTGTAGAGTCGCAAGGAAAGCTGAGTGCTCTCCGGACCTCACACCTCACAAGGAGGAGCTCTCTGCGTCCATGAGAATCCCATACTGGACAAAGGGGCCACCAGGGTTGCTCCCAGAGCACATGTGAACGTTGGAGAATTTTTTTTTTAAGGGAATTTAAAATGTTACATTGCAAAAGGAAATTTAACCCTGAACTTTGGGTTAACGATCACTCTAAAACGCTTAGGAACATTAAAAGATGGACATGTGCATTTTCTCCTTTTGAGCAAGCATGAACTCAGTAGCAGAAACAGTTCCTGATGGAATGACACACAGAATCTGGATATTACTCACTTTAAGCCTCACTGATTAGAACTTCAGTAATTGGCATTTGGTGGTAACAGAGTTGGGCTGAAGTTGACTTGACTAAGTAAAGCTTTATAGAGCATGAGATTTATTAATAGTATAAACACGATCACAAAATTAAACAAGCTTCGGTCATATGTGTGGATTAATTCATTGTTCCCCACCTGCTCAGTGGGTCCCCTAAAAGGCTTCTAGGTGCCAACACATTAGCAAAAGGAGGAGAGAAGGAAGGAGGAAGAGAGAGGGGGGAAGAAGCCAGGGCAACAATATTAGTATTTATTGTTGCTATTTGTCAGACAGTGTGTGAAGGACTTAATAATAATTTGCTTTTCATTAAATGCTTACAATAAACAATAACCTTATGAGATGGATACTGGTACAGGTCTAGGGACCCATATCTGCAATTCCAAAATCCAAAAGCATCTGAAAACTGGCAGGCTTTTGGTAACTCACTGACCAATAAAGCTGGACCTGACCGGCTTTGGCAGCAAACCCTGACCTAAAGCAACATGAGACTTTGCATGACCTGGGTGGACGGCATGTGGTGGGGCTGCTCACAGGTGTGGCTGAGAGTGATCCATGTGGTGGATTACGAGGTCTGTCCCTGGCCCCACCGAGGAGGAACGCCTAAGACTGCCGTCTCTATTACCTTTCTAAACTCTGAAAAATGCTGAATTCAAAAACATATTGGACCCCAGGGGCTTCAGGTAAGGACAGGGTGTGGGCTGTGGGCTGTCCCTGTATGAAGGTGAGTGAACAAAACCTCAGGGGCCATAATCTCAGGACCCTGCCCAAGGTCACACCTGGCGTGAGGGAGTGTGCGACAGACAGGCTCCGCCTCGGGGGTCTAACTGCAGACCCACAGTGTAGTGAGCAGTCACGTGAGAGGCTCTCCAGGCTTTGTAAGTATGATACGTAATTGAAAGTAAGAAAACCACATTGAAATGATTCTTTCAGCTCACTCAGATAACTCATGTATTGAGTAGGCTAAATGAATGAGTTTACTGTCCTGAAGAGGCCTGTAAGCAGCCATCCCCCACTCACCCTTTTCTGGCTTTCTTCCTGGCTGCCCATTTCTCGAATCTTCTCCAAAACGGCCTCCTCTGTGGACCCAATCATGCGCGAGCTGCCCCCCAGGAGGGCTGCGATTTTCTCCCTAAAGGAGGCGTGCTGGCTTTGCGAGGCCAGGGCTGCATCCAGGCTGGCCTTCAACCTTTTCTCCAACTCGCAAGAGTCTGTCTTCAGGAGGCTCAGCTCCTGCTTCGAGGCATCCCAGGCTCGCTGGCCAGCAAGCAGCCTTTCTTGGAAGATTTGAACTTCCCTTTCAAGAGCTTCTTTTGCCTCGACAGCACTGAGCAAGTCCTAATACAATTACATAAAATGAAGACAAAAACATTAACAGCCAATGAGGGACACCTACGTTCGCTTTTCAAGGAATCAGGGTTAAATCTTCATTCTATCTTAAAATCTAAATTCCCTACATGTCTTCATAAAGTTATTAAATGGTACAGGCTATGTTAGGTAAATGTAGGTGTCTAAAAAAGAGAAGAGATAAAGAAAATTGACATATAAGCCTTTTATGTGAACTTGTGGAAAGAGTTAACAAAAAGCAAATCATTGACTCACATACCAGTAGATTCAATCGCCATCTAGCACTATGTGTTTACAGAACCACGTGTTCTCAAGCTTGCTAGACAGGGAAATTGATTCTGAATAAATGGTGAATCCTCAGAGTCCTAGCTAGACACTAAAATTTATTAAATAGAGGTGTCTCCTTAATACTGTTCTAAAGAACACACAAGCATTCTCACCGAAACATCATTGCATAAAGGACAGTAAGGTCCTTCTTTCAATATTCATTGGCTGTGTATCCCCTTTTCTCGTAAAGGCAAACCAAGACTGGACCTGAAGACAGGAGCCGAAATAACAAGCCATTTGGTGGGTGGGAGAATTCAAAGTAGAGAGAGATAAACTACCATCCAGAGAATCACAATTTTAAAGAATGTAATATGTATCATTAGGGTCATAAAAACAGTAAAGGGCATAGGGAAGGCTACCTGTGTACCTATTTCTATTTACCATAATCTAGAATGGTCCAAAGAGACATAAAAGGGGCATCTTTAAAATTCATTTTAAAAAAATCAACACCTGTTGACATCAAGTTCGAAAATGTGTGAGCTCTGCCCGGCTGGGGATGGCTCAATGGTTGAGTGTCGACCTAGGATCCAGGCGATCAGGGTTCGATTCCCATCAGGGCACATGCCCGGGTTGTGGACTCGATCCCCAGTCAGGGGCGTGCATGAGGCAGCCAAAATTACTCTTTCTCTCATCGTTGATGTTTCTCTCTCTCCCTCTTTCTTCCTTTCTCTGAAATCAATAAAGATATATTTTAATTAAAAAAAGATGCATGTGCTCACCTTAAATAAGATTAAGCAGTTGGTTAACCAGCACTGTTATAGTATTGCAGCCTACTTAGCTGACAGGAATATTGTGTTTTTTATTAAAAATAGTATGTTAGGGTCAAAAACAACTAAAGAGAAACAATACCTTGGAAGAGCAGATTCTACATCTAAACCAGCCAGAAATCATCAGGCTGCTGGTTAAAATGTAGTTATGCCTTTTGCATTAAAACTGAACTTTAAAAGAAATTTATCTCCAGCAGCAGAATGGAGACAGGAAAAATATTACTTGAAATGCTATGTCCTAATTTTTTATTTTTTTAAAAAAAGGAAATGTCTTACTTTTTTTTTTTTTCCTTTCTGGTGATTTTTTTTTTTTTTTTAAATCAAGGAAGTCTCAGGCATCAATTTGAAATAAAAGTCATCGAGAGGAGAGATAGTTAGAAGACTGGCCTTTCAGAGAGGTAATAACTAAAGTAATTACGGAACCTATTTTGTGAAATGCTTTGCTTTTCAAGGTCCTGGCAGCAGCTTAGGATCCCCATCCCCCTTCCAGGCTAGTCCTCCCTGCAAAGAAGCCCCACTACTGCTGCTGATTAAATTTTGGCCCTTCAAGTAAAGAGTCAAGGACTCCTTATCACAAATACAGTATTTTAACACTTTACTGATGTCTTTTCAGATGGTAATACAATAGCTGCTCAATTACAGTAACCAGTATCAGCGCTGATGATAACACATGAGGCCTATATTTTACTTGGAAACTCCAATCCTGATGTGTGGTTAGAAAATTGAGGTCCTAAATTCGAGGATGCAGGGATAAAAATTAATTAGTTCTAATCTCCTCAGTGCTAAAACCCTATAGAATATTACATATTCATTTTTATATTGAAAGAAAACCCCTAATGCAAAATAGGGGAGTTTCCATGGCCAATATGTTTTTAACCAAGCTTGAGTACTATAGACTTACTATCAGTTTGGAGTAAACTAGCCAACTGGCAACTGACGTCAGGAGACCAGTAAACACAGTTAAAATATTACAGCTCCAAGGAATTTTCTCCATCTCAGTATCAGACAGCGGTCTCATTGCCTTATAGACAAGAACCAAAACAGTCCTCGAACAAATCCAAAGCGCCAACACACGTCCAGTAAAAATCAGAAAATTCATCTGGGATCATGGGATGCAGTGGCACAAAGCGGCGGGTCTGATTTCTTTCCTGGACATGTTTCAGCCCAGTGAACGAGTGGCTATTTCCACTATGAATGCAGAACTGGGGAGCCAGTGACAAGGCCTTGGGGACAGCCACTCTCCCGGTGCTCTGATTAAGCACTGCAGAATTCAGGCGCATGGGGCTGATCTGCGGGACACAGATGTCCTCAGACTACAAATGCAATTATCTGGAGAGCTATCAGGAGGAAGCGGCCAGAGTGGAGTCTGGTTGCATGGCTACCTCAAGGCTACGCTGAAGTAATGTGACATGGGTATCGAGGACCAGGACCTGGAGACTGCTGTCAGACCACAGTGACACGCAGAACAGGAAACAAGTAGCTCCCTCGGAGCAAAGTCAGGGCTGACCTACACAGCAGAAACCACATTTGCAAATGAGGTCAGGCCCCGTAGGGACAGTGACTACAATCACTTTACTGAATTTGTTTTAATTAAGGAATCTTTAGATTCAGTCCTACTAATCCAACAAGTGAATAATGATCTCTTTGCAATTACTTTTCACAAAGATAATTGTAAATAATATGATTTAGGCATTGGATTTAGCTTCTTAATTAAGTGCATAGTCTGCATTAATTGCCAATTAAATGCACTAAGTAATGAAACCATTCAAAAGTTTGTGTTTTGAAAACACAGTTGATTTCTATTAGAATGCTGCTAGCCATTACATGAATTTGGATATGTGTGAGATCAAATTGCCTCTCAAAAATACAATGACTAATGTCAGGGTGGAAAACCTCTGACTCCGGCTTAATTCATCCAAACCTATCTACTGCAGTTGAGGTGAACGAATAAACTCAGAAATCCCCCCAAACAGGCACTGTCATACATTGCCGGTAGAAGTGTGAGTAGGTATAATAGGGACATATTTATACCAAAATGCGTAACAAAATTTAACATGCACGTATCCTATGGCCCTGCAACTCCAGTCCTAAAAATATACCTGTAGATTACTAAATATGGAAAGTAAGGTAAGTGCAAAGTTATTCAGTTATAATATAGCAGAAGATTAGGTACTACATGAATATTCATTGATATGTGACTAGTTAAACAAATAGGAGACATCCACCTCATTATGGTGTCTTAAAAAGAACTGAGGAAACTTTTTATACACTGATACGAAAGGCTCTCCAAGACACAGTTGGTGAAAAAAGCCAGGTGCCTAACCATGCGTCTCGTACCATCTGTCCCTACAGCAAAAGAGAATCTCCCCACAAATATGCACCAGCAGCTGCCAGTTCTGGTCATCTCGGGAAGGGAGAGTGGAAGGAAGATGGGACAGAACGGGGGCAACTCTGAAAACACCCGGGGGATTTGGGTCCATTTAAAGGTCTGTCCATAGTGATATGAACACAAACACACATGCACAACTTAGGCTCGTCAGTAGAATTAAAGTACCTACAGTAAGGGAGGTGCTGTCCTGCTATTTCTGTTTCCCTTGAACTAAACCAAGCCTGAAGTTTGCATTTGGTTCTGGGATATAATTTTAATATACAATGAGGAAAGGACAGTATCTTTTATATATATATATATATATTTAATTGATTTCAGAGAGAGGAAGGGAGAGAGAGAAACATTAGCGATGAGTCACTGATCGGCTGCCTCCCGCGCGCCCCCTGCCGGGGATCCAGCGCGCAGCCCGGGCAGGAGCCCTGACCGGGAATCGAACCGCGATCACCTGGATCCTAGGTGATGCTCAACCGCTGAGCCACGCCGGCCGGGCCATCCCGTTGCTTTTCTATAAAAGTATTGTTCAGGGACGGGTTGCAAATAAAGAAAACCTGCCCTTCCCGCGGACGGCCTGGGCGCCGCCGTCCCGGG